CGTATCTGCTAAGTGATTGTTCAATGAACCACTCATACTGCCCTTGAAATTGCACAGTTTTGAAGAACCTATTTAATTATTTTAATAATTGCCCCTGATTTTTATAATGTCCTAGCTTCTCAGTCATGTTCCTACACATTGTGTATGACAGCAACAATAGTTTTTGTTAATTATTTTTATAATGAATTACTTCCAATTCTTTAGCATTTACTAATTCATTGACACATTATAATACAGTAGACAAGCCTGTCTACATGTAAGAAGGATGGGAATAAAGACCAGTGTAAATTGATTCCTCTGAGGTCAAGATCAGATGTCCTTACACTCTCCAAATCTTTCAACGTTTCTGACACCAGCCATCCCTCACGGCAGCACTCTCTACTTCATGGCAGTGGCCACGCACAACTCGCAGACCATGCTATCAAGTGTGTCCTTTATTAGGTACTCAACAGGCTACCACTCTGGATCAAGATCAATTTGGAAATAACAGGAGAGAGCCAGGGGACAGTTGGTTCATTAGGACTGTTTCCAACAAGGACAGCCTTTTGTGCCTTCTCAGTCATGCCCACAGGGAGGGCTTTCTCTTGGCACAGCAGCTGATGGCCTTTCATTGGGCTGAGCCAGTCTGCCGCCATTCTCTTGCCCATGCTAGCCAACGGGTTCTGTTGCTGGTTCCCACTGAGCCTCTTCCCTGATCAGTGAAGTGTGATAGCTCATTAACTTTGCCAACAGTGCTCCGAGACACTGTGTTCTGCCAAAGAGTCTTGTGCCGGAAGGTGCTCAGCTCTCTCTAGCTCTGTGGGGTGGTCAGGTCAATGCAGCCTCCTGCTAGTCCCACGGTTCTCACCACTGACACTGCTGCTATCATTTTTGCTCTGAGTGCTGCCCTTTTTTGGTCATCATCCCTCATTGGCTCAGTCATCTTCAGTGTTACAGTGCTCTCTTCTGGGTCTAGGAGACTCTCACTGCCGGGCTCTTGGGTCCAAAAGGCCACCTCCACTCCAGCATCTTCTGCAGGATAGTAGGTCTCCTTCAACCTCTGTGGGATTGGTCTTTATAGTCAGATTCAAAGCATCGCCCTCCCAGACAGACCATGAACTGACTCACACCTCTTTGTGGAACACAGTCACTCAATCTGCCTAGTAAACAACCAATTTCTGCAATGGATCAGAGAAACCCATGGAAACACACACATAGGGACGTTTGCAGGACATCATAGCAGGCAGTGTCTCCTCACGGGACTTCTCATTCTATCATCATAGCCACCCTTTGGGCTAGGAAGGGGAGGTAGTTTCATTTTGTGGAAAAACGAAATGAAAGCTTAGAGAAAGAAGGAACTTTCATGAGTGCACAATTCATTTTTCAAAGCCAGGAGTAGAAAACTTAAGTCTTTCTTTACTTATGCTGAGTGCTAACAAACTTGATTTTTATGGTGTTTCTTTCGCTTGGAAAATTGGTGATTCATAAAATGATTTATAATGAACCCCAAACAGAAAAATGACTGGTATGGACAGGCCAAATCATGCCAGGTGGGAAAGATTGTCCATCTGGATGATCATGGCAGGGAGCAACACAAATGGCCTAGAAGGAGAGAAGGGCACTGGAAATTATCAACTTGGAAAAAAGAAAAGATTGATAGAGAAGGTGCAGACCTCAAGCCCACAAATATTGATTAAATACAAGTTAAGGCTTGCCATATGAACTCCATGCAAACAATAAGGAGAAAGGGACCCTAAGTTTTACCTGTTTGTTTTTACCCTGAAGTTTCTTTGTCTAAGATTTTTTTTCCTCCAGAGAAAAAATGGTGGCAGTTCAGTGGTTCCAGAGATCCAGGTTTGATCCTCATGCCAGCCAATAGCCTCTTGTGCAGCCCCCACCTGGCTGTCACTGGGTTTCCCTGTACATGGGCTTGCCACAAGTTGAGGTCCCATTCCAGAGAAACTAATAACCACATTAGTTCACAGGGCAAGACTATCAACTGAAGCAAGTCCATAGTCAGCGTTTTCTTTAAATACTCTTGACCCCATTTGCCCCACAGTTTTCATCATACTTTTGAAAAGTTCAATCCTTCCTGTAACTCACCATATTTGTGCAGTGAGAGATCATGTGTCTTCCTTGGCTTTCCTCCTTTGGTATAAGTGAATCACTTAAAGCAGGTACAAATCTTTCTACACAGTGTCCACTCTTTGCTATAATTATAAACTTCAGAGGCTAATTTGATCTTCAGAAACATCTCATGGCTTAAAGAAAGAACACCCAGTTCTCCATGTGCACTGTAAGCATGAAGGAGAGATGAAAAGCAACCACGATTACCATTGGGTGCTTTTCTTCGTTGTCCACATTTGGCTTCTCTGAGGAATAAGTACTTTATGCCCCACACACCCAACTCCATAGGCTGCCTTCCTTACCTTCATCTCCCACCCAAACTGGTCTCCCAAACACAGAAATGATTCTCCTTAGGACCCATACATGACCGTAGTTTGTTCTTGCTTAAAACTGAACCTCAAGGTGAATTTTACACCTCCAGACCAAACTCCCTGCCATCGAGGCAATGCTGACTTAGCCACCCCCTGTGGGTTTCTGAGACGGGCACTGTTAATGCGAATGGAAAACCCAGTTTTTCTCCCAAGGTGCTGCTGATGGTTTCAAACTGCTGAGCATGGGGATCACAGCTCAACACATAACCCCTACACCAGCAGGACTCCTTGCCATCGTCAAATCTATTATGACTCATAGCAACCCTGTATAGGGTTTCCAAGATAGAAATCCTCATGGAAGCACACAGTCTCATCTTCTTCTGTGGAGTGGCTGGTGGGTTTGAACCACTACCTTTGCAGTCCCAGTGGTGAGATGGCGTCCCAAACCCAAAGTGGTAACATACATGTGGACAAAGGCATCTTTTTTTTTGTTTCCTTCCTTCCTTTCTTTTTCTACCTCCTTTGTATTCTAAAGATGAGCATGTTAAGGTGTTTCCATGGTTAGGGGAAAGGAATACTGGCTATTTATACAGTATGTGTTTGCCGTATTCATTATTCATGTGTTCCAGTAGTAAGTTCGTTTTCTTATGGATGTGCTATTATACAATCATCACCTTAATAAAAATAAAACTTCATGAGAACTGCAACAAAGAGGTTTAAAACATAGTACAAAGGAATGAGACAGATCAGAAGGCTAGAAGAATATATCTTTGTTTCATTTTATAAGTATGCACAACCTTTAATTATTTGATTACCTAAAATAATGAATTACCTAGACCTTCCTTTGTTGATGATTTTTGGGTCATCTCATTTGATAATCTCTACTGGAAGAAGCTAAAATGAATTATTTTTTTCTTTGCTCATGAATATGGTTAAAGTTAGAATAGATGAGAATAACATTTCATAAAAAGTAAATTTAAGAATTATTTTTATTTATACATATTACTGCTTTGTTCCATGACGGTAATTAATTAAAAATTCACTGCACCTATGTTAGTGGACTAAAGAGGATTTAAACATTAGGCTTATAAGTTTGCAGTTTCAAAACTTTGTATCATGATTTGAGCATTTGCTTTACCTTCATTAAGTGCCTATTTATATTGCCTGTTTCCTAACCTATAGGAAATGAGGAAAATTCCCTAACAATACCCAAAACTCACTGCCATCGAGTCAATTCTGACTCAGAGAGACCCTGGCAGGCAACTGGAACTGCTCCTGTGGTTTCTGAGCCGATAGCTCTTTACAGGAGGACCACGTCTCGTCTTTCTCCCTTGGAGCCACGAGTGGTTTCCAATCGCTGACCTTGTGGTTAGCAGCCCAATCCCAATGTGCTAACCTAACAGGGCCCCTAATTTCCAAATAGAGGACTATGTATTTGTAAAATACTCTTGTGATCACTCCCCGACCAGTTTCTCAATGAACCTGCCATGAAGATTTAAGAAATGTCAAAATGCATGTATATCATTACTTCATATATTATCCATAGCACACCAATTTTGGTCTCCCTGATGACCTATTTCTTCTGAATCCCATCCTACTAGGAAAATATGCCACCACAGAAAGCATCTATCCATTATAAGCTGAACATGCACAGTCACAACATACAGGTGACCCCAGAACAAAAGAACTTTGATCAAGGAACAAAAAGCCACTGGACAGATTTCAACAGGCCAACTTGGACAACATTTGGAATCGAGGGGCATGACAAGCCATTGCCTGGCCAAGAATCCTAACTCCACCCTAATGTATATTTATGACCATTCCGAAGCAATCCACTACATATTTATAATCCCCTCCATTTGCTTCCTGGAGTATGTGTATAAAACTGCAAACCCAAACCAAACAAACCAAACAAACAAAACTGCAAATCCCGCTTGTAAAGGAACTTCCCTTGGCGACACCAGTCCAGGCTTGCTCCTTGCTAGATCAACCAACTGAAGCTTTCCCCTTTCACTGTCTACCAGCCCTGTCTATGTTTCTCAGCGGCACTGAGGGAGACTTGGGTTGGTAACATTCAGAGGACATAATGTTCCATAAGAATAAATGAATATTCATTATAGTGATATTGCTTTGTTACAAACACAGCATGGATAGTTGTGCTGATTTAAGATTGATCTCAGGCATTATTAGAACAGGCTTTGTGCTTCAATGTCAATACTTAATCATTGACTATCTTATCATCTCTGGCTTACATGTTACAGGAAGGTTCTCTCCTTACACTTTTGTCACAGTTTCACAGCATTCAACACTATTTTAGGATGACGATCCGTCCCCCCCACCCCCCAAATTTCAAAGACTCAGAAAATGTGACTGCTGACATTATTCACATAAAACTGTTTTCATCATGCAATTTCCTTAGCAAAATGTGTTATATTTACCTAGAAACGTAGAAGCCCATAAACTTCTGCAAAGTAGAACACAGCAAAATGGAACAATGGTATTTGGTAAGGCAATAGAGCAATTTTAAGTCCACCTGACATATTTAAGTATGCCTAATATATTTAAAACGAGAAGCTTTCTTACCTAGCATGCAAACACATTTGGCATTCTGATCAGGGTTCTCAAACAAGATTTCGCCACACCTCTGAAAGAAAGAATGACATATAGTTATTTTAAGATTTCAAGACAATATGCCCATGCAACCTGATTACCACATTGTTCTTTGGTTATCTGAGTCCAGGGACTTATAGCATGCGCAGGGATTTTCTGAGAGTTAAACATTTTGGGGGTAAGTTGATGAATAGTTTCTGCATGCCTCACATCCCCAGCAGAGCACCAGATCTGGCCAGGATGCACCCAGCTTCCAGTGGTTTCAATTTCAGTGGAAGGCATGCAACTCATTAGGCCAAAGAATCTGAGGTGAATCACTCCCTTGATTGATCCATATTTAGTACTTACATTATTCTAAACCGCCTAGTCCACAATCAATCAAAAAAATGTCACCTTCCAAGGTAGGCATCCTATACTTAACTCTTTGAATTTAGGGTTAAAAAACAAAAAAGAAACAAAAACAATAAAGGAATGAGTTTTAAAAAGTGCCACTAAAATCTTGGATACTAAAATGCCCACTCATGAGATAACAGTTTGCTGATCTATAAGTTAGTTTAAACCTACATGTTAGAAAGTTTGGTGCAAGAAAAACTCTAGTGATACAGCAGGGCTTCAGAAAATTTGGGGAAAAATTACACTGTCATTTGATTCCATGTGCTACAAAATGTTTGAAGCCCCCTGTGGTAGTACCATACACTCCTGTCAACTTGAAGGTATCAAGAGTGAAGGGTGGAGTCTAGCCTGCCAATCAGGTCACAGCCTGATGATGCCTCCTTGTGGGCATGGCCTTCTCATGAGGATTCTGGGAACTTCCTCTCTCTGTTTCCCCTTCCTGTTGACGAGTCACACTCAGAGATCTGGAGGGGCTGTGTGGAGACCTGTGCCCATGCTGAGATGCTTCTGCCAGCAATGAATTCACAAGACTTTTCACCCACCAGCCTTTGATCTTCCTGCATTCAGCATCATTGCATGTGCTGGGTGAGTCTTAAGAGGGATTTATGCACTAGCATCAGATGTATGCGCTAATGTCAGACTTATGGACTTGATCTGGACTGGACGGGGATATTTTCTCAACATACAATTACTCTTCCATATAAAACTCTTTCCTATACATATATGAATATTCATGGATTTGTTTTTCTAGTCAACCCAGTCTAAGACCACCACTCCCATTCAATCATTTAGTTCAAATAGCCCATATTCATGTGGCAATCTAACTCACAAATGTTGAGTACTCAAATATATAAATAAAAATCAAATCAATTAGAAAGTAACAAATAATCCAACAGAAAAAAAGGATGAAGGACATGAGCAAGATATTCATGGAGGAGGATATCTGAATGGTCAATACACATAGACAATATAATCAACCTAATTTAAAAAGAAACCAGCAAATTATTAGTATAATGAGGTCTACTTTGTACTCTTTGGTTTATAAAAGTTTAGAAGTCTGGCAATACCAGACTTTTAACCAGGCTTATTAAGAATGCAAATAAATGGATACTCTTACACACTGTAGGTAGGAGTGGAAAATGATATATCTGTTTTGTAAAATTGCCAAAAACGTGCATACTGTTTCACATAGCAAGTCATCTTCTTGGTTTATAGCTAGAAAAAGCCTCACAGACAGCTTTCACGTAAGGCTACAGTACATATAAATAATATATTATTCATATGTTGAAACAGCACACAGATGCTAAAATGAATAAATCAGAACTATATCTGCTATCTAAACATATGGTACATATAACGCATATATATGATGTGCAGTATACACATATTTAATGATGCAAATTATATGAAGTGTATATATTAAAAAATATAAAAGTATAATATGAAGCAAAAACAAAAACAAAAACAGATGGAAAAAACTCTGATCTGTCTCCAATATGATACATTTTTTTATGATGTTCAAAAGATCTGAAAATGTATTTATCTTTTGGTGGATGCATTGATTACAGAAAAAGCGTAAATATATGCATTGGGAGAATGGACATCAGCCAGAAGAGATAGAATAATGTCATGTTGGAGGACACTCAAGGGTATCAGCTTCCCCCATTATGATCTGTTCCTTAAATAATCCTGTGAACATTCTTCTATGCTTGAAATAGTTCATAGTAAAAAAGACTAATATGTATGTAACACTCTGAATAGAAAATAAAAATGGCTCTGTGCAGATTGCTTTTCCACCATCATCTATGTGGGACTTAAAAAGCTGTTTGTAAATGGCCTACCTTACTGACTGGTCCTATTACTTACATCTTTTGCCGCAGGGAGACTGAGGTCTGCTAGGTTCATTTCCCTCTTTCTTTATCCAGTCACCACTTGGTGACCTGCACTCCAGTCATTCATTAATGCAATTTTAACTCGCTCACTGCCATCGAGTCCAGGCTGACTCAGAGAAACCCCGTGTGGGTTTCTGAGCCTGTCACTGTTTATGGGAGAAAGCTCAGTCTTTCTTCCTTGGAGCTGCTGGTGGTTTTGAACTGCTGACCATGCGGATCGCAGAGCAAACTGTTACACCACCAGGGCTCCTAATACAACTTTAGTTAATATAAGGCAAAGTAATTTCTGGGGGAAAAAATTCCAGGTGGTAAGAATTTGTCTAATTCACGCTTAATTACAAATCTTTTTGTGTGGTAAGGGAGACCTGGTGGGATAACCCTGGTTGGATAACCCTGGTGGTGTAGTGGTTACGTATTAGGCTGCTAACCACAAGGTCAGCAGTTTGAAACCACCACTTCCTCTGAGGGAGAAAGATGAGGCTTTCTACTCCTGTAAAGAGTTACAGTTTCTGAAACTCCCCAAGGAAGTTCTACCCTGTCCCATAGGGTCCTTATAAGTCGGAATTGACTCAATGGCAGGGAGTGTGGGTTGGTTTGTTTGATATGATAGTTGAGGTTTGGTAGTTGAGACCTAGCAATACCCTATGATGTGATCTAGCATGATTATATACAAAGTGTGTAGTCAACTTCACGATGGGATCTGCGGGGAACAGCCAAGTAGTTGGAAGAAGATTATGGTGGAGTGCAACCTCCTTGTGCAGGTCACAGCCCTGATACAATTGAAAGGTTGTTTCCTCTGAGATGTGGCCTACTTCCTACATAAATCGATGCTGTAGAAATTGTATTTGCTTGTTCCTGGGTCTGGATCCTTCATCTGGCTTAATGATCGCTGGTTCTTCGGACTTGAGTCAACATCCTGCCGATTCTGAGAGCCGTAACCTTTGATTAAACACCTCTGCAGCCTGTGGTGTTCTTGTGGAGCCTGGGTTCTTCAGCCTGGAAGTTACAAAGCCAGAAGTCTCCTGCTTCACATCCGACCCACAGACTAGAAACTGAACTGGACTTAGTGACTTGCTCCACTGTGTGAGCTATTTTCTTGATAGTACTTTCTCTCATGGAAGCATCACTGGGTTGACCTCTTAGAGAACCCAGTCTAACATATTTTATACAAAGATTTCATAATCAGTTGTGAATCGGGAGACCTGATGGCGCTGTTGGGTAAACATTGGAGTTCTAACTGCAAGTCAGAATTGACTTATGATTCTGAGTTTGGGGATTGGGTTGACACAAAGAAGGGCAGGTTGAGAGGGGAAAGAGTAACTCTAATTTTTTCAAATCAATTCTTTAAAAAAATGTGGATGGCTTCCGTGTGCGCAAAGAGATTGGCAATCGACGCAAAGACCTACAAAGAAAGAGTGATCCTTTGGGAGCCAAGAGAATCAACTAGTGTGAGGGAGGTAGGTGCATCTGAAGGTTGGCAAGAAGACCTTGGTTAATGATGGAAACTCAGCATTATGGGTTCATTTTTCTACCTCCTTTGTTGAAATAGTGAGATATTTCATCATATTATTTAATCTCTCCATGCTCCATTTCTTCGAGGGTAGCATGGGGATGCTAATATAGAGCACAGAGCCAAGTCAGAGCAAAAATATGAGGGTTAATGATCCATGTCGTCTGATCCTAGTCCCCCTTTTACTTGTGTTTTGTCCAGAGCTTAAGCTCTTTTGAATTGCTAGGATCCTTTTCTTACATTGTTTGCCTTTAAAATTGGTATTTTTATGACCTAGAAGAGTTAATAATTACTTTAAATGAAAAGATCACAGTTCTCTAAAATGCTTCCAGCTCCTTGGCAAAACAGAGTCTTAGGAAATGCTATCAAACCCTAGTTTGTGTTCTATGTGGAAATAACACCGTGCAACTCTCTTCATTGAGGACAAAGCTCACATATTCTCGGTGGAAAAGCTTTTTTTTTTTTTGCAGGGGCTTCCACAAGATGACAAGTAAAGGTTGTAGAACTTTCCATGACTACCCAAAGCCCAAGAGCAGCCCTATAATTAGAACTCAGCGGGCACAGTGGTGTGTGTGGGAGGACCATGCTATGAGGTCTTACTCTTATTTTTGATCACATACAAATCCAGGGCCACTTTGTGCTGCTCTCGTGAAGTCAGCCTTCCTTAACACTCTTGGCCTGCTCAGGTTCACTGACCTGACAAGCTAATCATCACTGACCGGCCCTTTCCACCATGATGAAGTCCACTTCCTCATCTTTATCTCCCAGGCAGAACTGGAAAGGGGCTTAGGCACCTCAAACCAGTTCATTACATGTCCTTCTTTATCAGGAATGTTGATTTGTGGAGCCAAGAGGATGGACTGTGAGGAGAGAGAGGGGCTGAATCTCAATCAAGGCCGGTATGAGGGCTGAGGAGTGATATCTCACAGTGGAGTCCACAATATGGGCAGAGCCTTGTTCAAAGTGCTGTACATACCAAGGGGTTTTACATGGACTTCACACTTTTGTGGAAATGAAATGAAAATATAACATTTTTCCACAAAAAAATTTGAAGCCCCTTCATATATGAGGATAAGTTAAAAAAGAAAAGTACTACAAAAGTATAGGAATCTGTATTCAACAAAGATCTCAAAATATGAAGCTATGATTTCTCAATATATATTCCATCTAGGTCTATACATATTTCTGACAGCCTCGTTTCCATCACTCTAACCCTTCTCTGAAGAATTCTGCATTCTT